AAAGGAAGGACTGGGGATTATTTAGCAATACCAAAAACAATAGAGACACAACAACGAAAAAAATCCCGGGGAAGAGACGTTTTCACTCAAAAACCCCTGGCATAAAACCTCAGAGTTGCCTGGTTTGCATGATCCTATAAATTCAGATGCCCACACTTTTCATTCTATGACCCGCATGTCTTCGAACCCTCACCCTCAAGCAGATCAAAACTATACACGGACTCTTAAGAAATCCCATTCTTTGCCATCAGGTATCATGTTTTGAATGTTGCTACATCCTGAGAAGTTGTATGTGTGCCTGGCACTTCTGAGTTTTAGGAGGCAGCTTAAATAATGAAACGCTAGAATCTATTCTACAAGAATTTCATTAGTATTCTGTATGGATGTATTTTGTTTTTTAAGTTACATTAATATATTTTATGAATTTTTCAGTTTGCTAAGATCTTAAAAAAAATGATTGGTAGGAAGAAAAACTAACAACCTCATTAATTAGCTATGTAGGTTCACTCAAGGATTATCCCACTGGCTAAAACAACCGTATTCCAATACAAAGTAACAATGCCTAGGAATGACTGTTGAAATAATATATTTATCTTGCTTTATTTGCCTTTAAGATTTTTTCCAGAATGTGTCATATAAGGTTTTGAAATAACAGTTCTTAAGTAAATGTCAATTAAAACAAATGATGATGCTGGGACTCTGGCCCAAGTATATTCCAAGTCACTGCTGGCTGCCTTCATAGCCTTGGTTTAAATGTTTTTTTATCATTTTATAGCTAGGTCTACACAGAATTCTGACAATCAGACCATTTTGAATTAATTTCTTTGTTTCATTTTTTTCCTCATTGTCTCCGCTGTGCTTTTTTTATTAGTTGGGGGTTGATACATGTACCATATCATACCATATTTCAATCACATCAAGTAGAATTGTACTATTGCTACCACAGTCAGTTTCCAATCATCGTTTTTCTGCATGGACTCTTGATATCGTCTCCCCTTTACACCACCACCACCACCACCACCACGTTATCCCCTCCCCCAAACCTTTACTCTACTT